ACCTCGGATGACGAAACGGACCGCGCCTGACGCATCCGGAACGTCGATTTCAGCTAGTAGAGACACTCACTTTGTTGTAGTTTTGTGCAAGAGAAAATAGTGCGCAAATCGAGGGATTTTCAATATTAATTAATTAAAAAAAGGAATTCTTTTTCACTTAAATCTCCAAATCCCTAACCGGCTCATCCCCGCTTTCTCCCGTTCGGGACCCAGACGCAACTCTCCCTTGCTTCACAAGCGAAACCTTAGCCCGACCGAACTCGCTCTCCTCTCCTTGCGAAGGTTCAACCCGAGGTCCCCTCCCCATGCTATGGTAAAGCTTCCACCTACCCTCGCCACGCTCCCTGCCACGCTTCTGCTTCCTGTCGCCATTCCTGCCTCTGCGCCTCTTGTCGCTTCTTGTCAGTTGCCTTCAAGTCTCGACTCACCCCCAGGTAGGTTTGGATAAGCTCTTCTCCTCTCCTCTGGTGGCTATATAAACCCCTCTTGGGGGAAGGTTTAGGGGTTGGCCGAAATTTTGGTGTGAGGGGGAGGTGCTACCAAAATTCTAGGTGGTCGTTGAAATTTCTGGAGGGTTGTGTGGCGTGGTTGAGGCTTTGTCGTTCAACTCTCTCCAGTCCGAGGCCCTCCTTCTTTCTTCCTTTTTCTGCGAGCATTCAGAGGTAGTCTCTCTCCCTTAAACACTCGGTAATCTTGCTTGCCTTACGGTTCCCTTGCTCGGCTTCTCGATACACATGTTGATTTACTTGATTTCGTTGTTGGTTGCTTATTTTCTTACCTGATTCCTGGGTTTCCTATGGTTGCTTGATATTCCTGTTCAGCCGTTTATTGAGCTTGGGCATTGGTGGATTGAAGTTTTTATTTGATTACATATGAATTGATCACAGTTTGTTGAATACTTTTTTTTTTTTTAGAATACATATTGGTTCAACATTCACATATCTAATTCCTTGCAGATCACTACAGCCATGCCGCTTATGTTCCTAGTGTAGGCCTGCTACAAATGATAATCTATATTGCCTTATGTTTGCTTGCCAAATTCACGTGCTATGAACATTTCTTTTCCAGATGTGCTTTGAGTTTTCCCGGGTTGATCGATACATAGATACATAAATTGATTATGGGAACTTTGGTTAGCTATGAATGCTGACTGCCAATGGCTTTTCTTTTAATGTAGAAATGTGGTACGAAGGATTTGTGGGACTATTTTGAACAACTTTCCTCGCGGCATTTACGTACATACCACTCAACTTTTACTTTCCTACATACTTAATATCCAAACTCTGCTTTATGTCATTCGATTCTTTCACGCCCCATGAAGCTTGCGACAATCTTGCCCTTTTAAGCGTTGTATATGCTTTCTATGCACAATCAAGGTGGTAGGTATGTAAAACTTGAGGCTCGGATGCTAAATATGTAAAATACATGAGGGTTGGATGGTTTATATGCAGAATTTTTTATTTTTATTGGTATTTATGCATATATATAGCATTTAAGAAGGACTGGAAATGAGGAGAATTAGATTAGCCAGTTGATACGCTGAGATATTAGTGGGCCTTTGGTAGAAAGCATGGAGTTCAGGATGAAAGAGGTTATAAATTCTGAAGTTTCCCAGTGAAATGGCCAAATATTTCTGCATTAAGAGGGATTCAACCCAGTTACTAACCATTGCATTGTTATTGGATTTTGGGAGCATCTCTTGTTAAACGATGTTAAGACACCAGCTGAAGTATACAGTGCTTTGAGGGATGAAGGATACAACATAGGATATAGGAGGATACCTTTAACTAGAGAAGAGAACCATCTGCTGCAGATGTTGAGGTGATAAAATACTGCAAAATGATTGTGCCAGATATCTGCTTTTTTGTTCCGCTTACAGGACATGGAAAAAGATTTACATACATGCCACTTAATTGCTGAATGCTTGCATTGCGCAAAAAACAAAAAAATGGAGATTTACATACATGCCACCCGATTCTTAAATAACTGCATATGAAACATAGGCTTTTATATTTACATAATTACCATCTAGTTCTCATATATATTTACATATATACCACCAAAATTTTAAAAGGTTGTTTTATGCTCTATGTTTGTGTCAATTTGAGAGGATTTAGGAGGCCTTTTATATATCAATTTGGGCACTTTAAGTACTGATTTTTTTAGGCTTTTATACATCGATTGAGCACTTTAAGGGTTGATTTTTTTAGGGTTTTTATACATCGATTTGGGCACTTTAAGTACTAATTTTTTGAGGCTTTTAAGCACCTTTTGGGACTGATTTGATCATTCTTTTGAAAGAATTTAAACGTCTTTAGACCGATTCAATTGCGGTTTTGTCCCTTGCTTAGCTGATTTTTTTATAAGTATGTCGGCCTACTTCTCCATTGATTTGTTTTTGTTATTTTTTTCCTTACCAATGGTTAAGTCAAAAATAGAAATTTCTGATTTAATTATTAAAAAAAAACACTTAAACATATTTGAGTATTAGTTGGAAGACTTAATTGAGGGTAAAACACCTTAAATCACTTCAAGTTCAGGTTAAAATATAGACTCCCTAAATTTTATGAGCACACCCTAAGTGGTAGTTCATTTACCTAATTTTCAAATGAATGATCAAACTAGGCACCTGACCTTAATTTACAAGCCAATTAAAACACTAAATATGAGGATGCACCAAGATGTGATTCATAACTTCCTTAATTGAATTAATTAGTGAAATTCCCGCCATGACTTAACCTACAGTAAAGCTCAATGCTCCGGGATTTAAGCTTGAGTCTTACACTCAAATCCTCTGGCAATTGGGGACATTCTTAATGCCACGTATAAATCACATATTCCTGGTCCTTTATACGTGACATAGTGTTTTGTTTTAATCATTCGTGTTTTTTATGATTTTTGATTTTCTTATACCAGATTTTATAGCAATTTGTTTAAGTTTCCTGCAATTTATTTTTCTTTTTATTGCCTTATTTTCTTTAATGCACATGTTAAACTCCTTGGGAAGAGAACAGTAGTCTGGTTTTATAGGAGGAATATGGCGGCAGATCACCGGTCCAATAATTGCATGTACATTTAAACTTAACATTAAACCTGAAATTGTTACGACGTGGAATTTAAAGCTAACATCGTGAGCAACACGACAAGGATGTACAGAAGAACAACTTCAAGAGAGCAAATAGGTCTACAACAACAAACTTTTCCTTAGTTTAAATAACAAGTCATAAGACTTTGAGGTGATCTGCCTAGCGCGACATAAATCCTCACTTTATTTTTTAGGTTTTTGCACAGCCAGGTTGTGCAATCTAAAACCCTAACTCGCATTAGGTTCTGAGGTCGTCATTTGATACGACATAAACTATAGCCTCGCTCTTATAGAGAGATGAGGCTTCTGCCAAATCAAGGAGGAGGCGTAATAGGATGACAAGAAGAAAAAATAATATTGTAGGCTGTAAAATAAATTCAAAAAATAATTTTTGTGTTTGATTGGGTGTAAAATAAACCAGTTGTTTTATTATTATTATTTTAAATATATTTTGAACATTAAAAATAGCTCAGGTTCCAAGCGATAAATTTGGAATTTGTCAAATTCAGATGGATTTTAAATTCACCAAAAAATGAAATGTCAGAGGTATTCAAAAACCTTTCAACAAATACTTAGAATTTGTTTTGCTCAAGATCAAACATAATAAGAGGGTGTTTGTAAGAGATTTAATAGAATTTATTATCAAATTTACTAAACCCACCCAAACATTAAAACGCAGAGATTCCATTTATTTATGAGTGCTAATTCAAGGTCCAAATTTTACTTTCAATGCAGCTTAAATCTGAATTTACTAAATCGAGAGATAAGTTGGATTTAACAGATTAATGACTTAATAAATCCTACTAAAGCTAAATACAACCCAAAAAAAAAAGCATACCTTTAAAGTACATGAGAATCAAAATACAACAAAATAAATACCTCAAAAGGCAGATAATGTCAAATTAAATTAGCTTCAAAATTACACTAAAAAAATCAAGCATTCATAATAATAAATCAATTCCCTCAGGGTTCACTGTCATACCTAAAAATTTACCACTATAACACATTACTTGGATGGATGTAAACCTAATGTTCCAACCACACTACTTGGACGAGATTTAAAACTTGAATGTTCCAAATTGGCTAAGTTTCTGAGTTAATGAGTCATATGGTGTAATTATTTACTCATAAATGTCAATATTAACCCAAACTGGTATGATTAATCTATGAGATTTTTTTTGGGACTGTGAGCTTCGAGCATGAGACTTTTCGATGTGTGAGGACCAACTGGCCACCATCTCATCCGTTCAATCTATGAAATTCCCTTGAAAAAAATAATCTAGGGCACCCAATAAGAATTATCCTTGCACAATATTAGCAAATCACTTCCCTTTAGTTAAATAAAATAAGATAAACCAACAAACATTGAATGATACAACGATGAGATTAATTTTAGTGGGACTTACATACATACCACCCGATTCCTATGTATTTGCATATCTAATACCAAAACTTTGATTTTCTTTACATTTATACCACTCAAATATTTCAGGTCAAATCAAAAATAAAAAACGGAATACACTTTTTCATAAATAGGCAAGGAGGTATGTATGTAAAATTTGAAGTTTAGAAGCTAGATATGTAAAGACATGCATAGGAATTGAATGTAATGTCTGTAAATCTTCCTTAAGTTTAATAAAAAAATCCTCTCACGAGCAGAAGTTGTCTAATGAAGATAAAAATGTCTGAATGGTGCTTTAACTCTACTTAATATGACTCCCAAACAGGTTGATGATAGATATGAGAACTTCACATAATACAAAGATGCAGTAAATGTGAACTGTTTAGCACAAAGCAGCGCATCATACGAAATAAGACAGTCTAATAAATAACAGGGGCATTTACATGCAAACCACACCATTCTTCTATATTTACATATCTAACATCTAAACTTTACTTTTTTGCATTTATGGGTAAATACATAGGAATTGAGTGGCATGTAGGTAAATCCTCATAAATAAAAATGCACAAAATATCCAATTATTTATCTGGTTTAGATAATTTAAATTTGAGAGAAATCTATATAAAATAACATAATTATAATAATAATTCCATACCATGTCTTTGTTTTGTGAGATGCTTCAGTCAAGACTTCATAATTTGCTGGAAGCAACAGCATATTTGGCATGGCGAGCTTGAGCAACAATCTTTCCAGTCTTCTTCTTCCTTATTTCTACAGTTGAGACAATTACGGTTTTCCCGGTCTTCAAAATCTTAGCATCAAATTCAATCTCATCCTGTAAAATATCAAATTGTACGAGTTCTCTTAGAAAATATCGTTTCCTAAAATATAATTAACTAGAGAGCCTTGCTTCATTAGAGTTATCAGATACCAAAACTAACATAAACCCTATCACTCAAGGATAGAGGAAAACATTTAGTTTTGTAACCCCACGGAGTAGTAAAATAATTATTTTGGGATTGGGATCGTGGGTAGTGTTTTCATCACTTGGGGTGATATAGTATACATTGACGTCGTATTCGATCACAAGTGAGTAATTTCAAAACTTGTGTGTGCAGTCCCCCACAGTGCAGACAAAGCATTACTTATCCACTGTAAAGATTTTGGTTCACAACATTTCGACAGTAGGAGGTCATCTAGATCAAGAAGCCAGCATCCACTATACTCTTAACAGTCTGTCGGCATAATATCAAGCGTTAAAAATTACAATTGGACCTAAATTTGGACTTTTAAACTGGATGATTTCTAATTCCTCCTCTGTAGCGAGGAAATTAACTAAGCAAATGATAATCTAAAAGTTGAAGCAACACAAATCCAAATCAAGCATCTCGGTGAAGCTACAACAACCCATCTTGAGGTCATTGACTAGGACCCTCAATACCATCAGGCCATGGTAATCACATATCATATCTGCAATAAGGTGGGACATTCAGCTGCAACGTATTGGCACCGGACCAACTTGGAGTACACTCCTCCCAAACAAGCTCTCAACACCACAAATCAAATTGGATACTGAACTTAGAGGCTGCTACTCACGTGACATCTAATTTGAATCATCTCCAAATCGCTACACCAACATAGGGATCGGAACAAATGTTGGTCGGCAATGGTAAGCAAGTTCCAGTGCATCACATGGGAGATAGCATATTACCAACGCCTACTTGTAAACTTATCTTACCTCAAATTTGGCATGCACCCTCCTTATCTCATACTCTTCTCTCTATTCACAAGCTCACCTGAGACAATCAAGTATCAATCCTTTTTTATTCTACCGGTTTTATCTGCTTGGTAAACGGGTCGATTATTCGGGGCGTTCTGTCATTGTCGTAGGCCATTTGCTTTCATTACATCAAATGTGGATTACCTCGAGAAATAGCAATAGAGCTCTTCCAAGCATTTGTAATTTGTGGTCTAATAAGACTGGAAAGATTCTTGTTATTGCTTCGACTCAAATTCCCCAAAAAGTGGATCCCGCTCTAATAGCTCCGAAGAAATTCAATACATACCTTCTCGTGGAAATAATATTTTTCTAGCTCAAGAAAGCTTGGATACGAAGCGAAGAGTGAACGCCTTTAATCCACAGATGCACAAGGCACAACTTCGGGGCCAATGTTCTAAAGGTCTTTACCCACAACACCACACAGCTGAAGAACTCAAACACCGCTCCCCATTCAACTCTCAACGCCTCCAACCAATCATTGATAACATGACATAGAAATTTTGGTCGCCCGCATTCAAATGTCATCAAACATCTTATCAAACTATATCCTAATTTAGGAATTTCATATACATCTATGTAATAGTTGTAATGTTAGCAAAAGTCATACACAACCCTTATCTAGTACGTCTTTATAGAAGTATGCTCCTCTCCAACTTATACATATTAATGTATGGGGTCCATCCCCTATTATATCCCATCAAGATTTTCATTATTATGTTGTTTTCATTGATGACTTCTCAAAATTATGTTGGTTTTCTCGTATAGCTATAAAATCTGATGCACCTAATAAATGCATGGCATTCATTACAATAATCAAAACCCAATTCAAGGCCAATGTTGCATTCTTACGTTCAGACGGTGGTGGGTAACTTACAAACTCAACACTATCCAAATTTTTAATTGAAAAATGGTATTATACACCAATTCTCGTGTCACACCACATAACAAAATGGAATAGCGAAACACAAACACTGTCACTTACTTGACATTACATGTGCCATTCTTAAAATGCATCCCTTCCATAAAACTTTTAGGTGGACACGCTTCTCACCACTACCTATTTAATTAATCGAATGGCGTTCGAAAATACTCACAATCTTTCCTCATATGAGCAGCTTTACAAATGGAAACCTACTTATGCCCACCTAAAAGCATTTGGTTGCACTTGTTATCCGTGGTTGAAGCTACAGGCACCACATAATCTCGCACCTAGGTCCACTCGATGAATATTCTTGGGCTACTTACCTGGGCGTAAAAGATTTAAGTGCCTTAAGTCTTAACCAACAAATCGGCAATGTTATTATATCTCGTCATGTCATTTTTTATGAACAAACCTATCCATATACTTATCAAATTGCTTGCCAACTCACTATAATCCCAACAACCACCACTAAACCACTTCTACTCATACCTTTACTCAATACCAATGCCCCACAATCATAAATGCCTGAGCACCTGAACAAACAACTACACCCAACAACTCTCTGCTTTAGCAAAGAGAAACCTCCAATGAGTCACCATCCAATTCAGCACATCGGCAACTCCCCCAACAACAACCTTAAACTGATCCAATGTCTGAACCTCTCACATCAGCTAGAGCAGCCACTCGATCCAACATGTTTTACTCAGACACTGAAATGCGCACATTGGAGATAAGCTATGAATGAGAGTTCCATGCCTTACTGTCTCAAGCTGCATGGGAATTGGTTTCGACACTGTCCAATCCAACAATATTAGGGTGTTGATGGACATACGGAACTCTGATGGTCAGTGACCAAATACAAGGCGATTGGTAGCTCGAGGTTATAAACAAGAATTGGGAGTTAATTACCATGATAGCTTCAGACCGGTTGCAAAAATGCCCTCTCTTCAAATCCTATTTACCATTGTCTTTCATTAGCAATAACCCATTATTTCAGTTTGATATATCCAATGTGTTTCTACATGGTTCCATTAGTGAAACTGCGTATATGCATAACCCATCGGTTTCATTGGCTCCCAATTTCCAAACCATTTTTATTGACTCAAAAAGGCCCTCTATGGCCTTAAACAATCTCCCAGGCAATGATTTGCCTCTATATCTACTTTCTTCATCGAATTGGGATTTAAATTCAACAAAGCCGGTCCATCTTTGATCATTTCCAAACAACAGACTCATTTCACATGGGTTTTACTCTATGTTGACGATATTTTAGTTAAAGGGGGGTGTGACTCTACCATTTCAAATTTGAAAGTGAGATTTCACTCCTAGTTTCATATTAAAGATAAGAGACTAGCATCAAGGTTCTTGTGAATTGAAATCCCGCACACTAACTCGCATCTCTTATCAAAAAGGTACTTTCAACAACTCCTAAAATGCTTCTTGTATGCAATGATGCAAAAGCTATATCCAGACATTTACCCACAGAGATGAATATGCAACCTGAGACTACGCAACAATTTTAAGACCCGATTATATATAGGCAACTCATAGGATCGCAACAGTATCTCAAAATAACTAGACCTGACATTTCCTTTGTGGTCAATCAGCTTTGCCAACATATGCATATTCATTCAATTCATCACCGTCGATTACTCAAATGGGTATTCCAGTACTTACAAGGATCGACTGAATATGAAATTCTTATCACACCAGCACCTCTCACATTACGAACCTTCTCAGATGTTGATTGGCTTGTAGATTCAATCAATCACAAATCCAACACGGGTTTTTGCTCGTACTTGAGGGCTACTCCCATCTCTTGTACTGCTAAAAAGCAACTTATGGTGGCTCGATTGCCGACGGAGGCCGAATATCGTGCTCTCGTAGCAGCTACATCCAAAATCATATGGTTAAACTGCCTCCTACAAGATTTTGGTATTTCTCAATATCATCCTACCAAATTACGTTGTGATAACCTCTCGGCAATGGCAATCACAAACAATCTAGTATTTCATACTCACATGAAACATATTGAAATTAATTACCACTTTATTGGTGATCACATCAAATCCGAGGAGCCTTAGGTTCGCCACATCTATACTCAAGTCCAACCTACCAACATTATTAACAAATCACTCTCAAAACAAAAACTCAAACAGCTGAGACCCAAGTTGATGGTTCAATTTCGACCCATCACCTTGTCGGGGGCTGATAGCACTACCATTCCAACTGACATAAAAGACAAAATCAGCTAGGCAATAACCAACAAATCCTTACAAAAAGATAAGCCAGTTATGGCCTGTAGCTAGAACATTCTGCTTAGCACATGTATATATACCTGTATTCTCCTATCAATGGTTAATGAAGATATGAATTATGCTGTCTTTTTTCTAGAATATACATCCCTCTTTTCTTCAGGCTTTTACTAACAACTAAGTGGTCACATTATATTTTATTTCCAGCTTTACATCTCTTTTCAATTTTCATATCAAGCACACAATTCTTTTGCATTTGCATCTCAAGCCTAAACTTTAATACTTACATTGCACTGATGTACTTTAAGCCTATGCATGAAAATGTGGATTTCATTTTCAAAAAGTGAAGAGTTAATAATTTTTTTTTTTTTTTTTTTTTTTTTTTTTTTTTTTTTTTATTTTAAAAATTTGAGTGCACTTTTTGAGTAAATATGAAAGTTTAGGCGAGAAATATGTAAATACACAACAATTTTGTGCTATATATGTAAATGCCCCAATAACTTTTTTGTTGGTTGTGGTGAATGGAACTCCCTACCAACACATAACAAGAACAAGTAATACTCCCTACTGCAGTCTTGGAACTTCCATGTTCAAACAGATTAAGGTTACAAAAGAAAATCATTACTGTCAAGAATTCACTTGCTGTGGATCAATTATATGAAAATTTAACCATGTTCCAAGTAAAATAAAGCGAAAACATCAAATTCTTAGCAAATAGGATCCTTAACATTGATATAGGCCGCGTCCACATAGGATATGCTGATCTCAAGGGAGACGCCACTTGTAGGAAGTCCAGCACTGTAGAACACTGCAGAACCAACCACATCCACCAGCGCCACCATCAATCCGCCGTGCAATAACCCGCTAGAGTTCTGAAAAAAGCAATGAAGGAAATCGGTTGGATGCAGAGCAGAACGATCATTCTAGATAGAATGAGAAGTAGGTTTCAGATAAAATTACAAGAAGACGTGGCGGCACTTTCATTGAGCAGATTACATGGCCGTGCTCGATGAGATCGATACTGAGGCCGTAGAGGACGAAGGTCTCGAAGAACCTCGCGCGGCTGGGAGAGTTTCGCCGCCGCTCGCAGGCTCGAGTGAACGCTTCACTGCGTCCAGATCCATTTCATCTATCCGATGAGGGGTCAGTAAATTTGCCTTAAAATTTATAGTAATAATAATATATTATTTCAGAACACTAGAAATTTGTTTTTATATTCCTCATAATATATACATAATTAAATAAATTTCTTTACCGTCTATTTCCTTAGAGAAATACACCTAAAAGATTATTTCTGATTTAGTTAAATCATTTGTATTACTATTTATTAAAGCTCTTAATTAAGGAAATTGCTTCAATTCACGTCTTTTTTGGAATGCTATAATTCTTTTGGCCAACTAATTTCGTGGTGATCAACACGACATTTACGACAAACTAGTGTAGTGCTATCAGCGGCATTCGACTGTGTCCAAATGCAACAATGTGCATGTGTTATGATCAATGTGTCCATGTATGATGTCTCTATAACATATACACTTCTTTATTAAATTTATGTACAGTCTCTTTTATAATGCAAAAAAAAAAAATATAAGTAGGTGATATGCCAAACCATTAGAGAGGCAGAATATATGTCAAATAGGGGCAAAAATATATGTGATTTCAAATTATAGATATTTTTTATCATAAGCTTATTTAAAATCTCGATTGTTTCTATATTTGATATTATTTTATTATTATAGTATATTTTCAATTTTCTCCTAGCATTTGGTTAGAAAAAAAAAATCTACTAGCACATAAAATATATCATCGATTATTGTTCATATAATATGTCATTGATCCTTATTTTTTTATGTGTTAATAAATAATAATTATTTTTAGCAAATATTTCCTATTCCTTCTGTTGGACCATGATTATAATTTTTATTGATTTAATATAATAAAATGTATCATTTTTTTAAGATGATAAGAAAATAAATACTAAATTTTAATTACTAGATATAAAAGTAAATGTATGAAAATCCTGCATTGTGATAAATACTTGGGATTATCAGACAAACCCCGCGGTTCTTATCAGATCAGAGGAGAAAACTCCATTGAGGAGAGGCAGCGAGGAAGAGAGGGGAGCGGGGCTCACCATTCTTCGGCTCCTTCGCTTGTACTAGCATTCGAGGAAGGAGAACAATGTTCGAATGGCCCAGTATAGGCAATCGGGCACCGATCGATTCTCCGCTCGGAGCCAGATGGATTCTGCAGTCGCCGGAGACCAGATCGGCATCCGGATCCCACAAAAGTCCGGCCGTGTTCGCCGCGCCAAGTCGTCGAGTCAACTATCCGCCGCCGCAGTGGTCGTTGGAGTGACTCTTGTTTTTGGCTTCTACGTCTCCATCCTCGCCTTCCACCGCCTATCCGGTTTTAGAGGTTCCCATTTTGTACCCATCGTCGTCTCTACGTAATATTTTATCTGAATATAATATCAATTACCTGAATTCGATTGTGCAGAAATACCGAGCAGATTAGACGAGTACGGCGAAAAGAACAGATCAGGTCCTCGGCCGAGACTGGAACGTACGCTGGCTTTCAAGGAACTTAGATTTGGTCACTTCACTGGCGGGAGTGGTCGGGATTCTAGATATTGGGATGGGGACGACCGGCGGCGGGATATCGATTACAGTGAGGAGGAAGCTACAGGGAGGAACTTGGGGAGTGATTCCGGGAAGAGCAAGCTTCTGGAGGAGGGAACGGTTGAGAGGGCACAAGGGAAAAGCAGGAGCGGGAGATTGTACAATGAGGGCGGGCGAAAAGAGTTGGATTCTTACAAGAAGAAATATGAGGATTCTTTAAAGACTGGCTTGCAGACAAGGGATGATGGTTGGGTGGAGCAGGCTAATACTTTTGATGAGTATGATGATGACTTTGATGAGCAGGATGAACTTGAAGATTTGCGAAATGAGAGGGATGATTGGGATTTTTCTGCTGACAGTGAAGTTGTTTCTGCTGGTGCTGATGATGAATTCAGGGGATTGAGTAATGTTGGTGCTGTTAGAAAAGATGCATTTTCGAATTCAAATGTAAAAACTTCTGGTGAGGTTTGGAGCAATATTGGTCAGCAGTCTCAAATGGATGGTGGTGATGGCGTTCGTGCTACTGGTAGGGAATCTAGTTCTAGTTCAGGGAGGAAAATTGAATTGAAAAGAAAACCGAAACACCACAAGTCTTCTCGTGAGTAACTTGAATCCCTATATCTTTTGGCCTTCAAATTTATGTTTTTGTTTTTGGTAGAAATAACCCCATAAAAGCTTGGGTCCATGCATTCATTTGGATTTTGTGGGTCTAGAGCTTTCACTAAATGAGCTTCTTACTGAATGTATGATGGAGTATTCGTGGAAGCAACTATCCAATAATTGGATAGAAGATACATTTAATAAGGTGGATGTCACAGGCTAACTTATCTCTAGTCACCCGTGTGGCTTTAGCGCTCTTCCTTGGTACTAAAACTGTCTAACCCTCACAACACTTGGACTTGTAAGCACACAACACCATTGGAAGAGGAATATGGAGAAGTATTGGAGAAATGAACACTTCACTAAGTAAGAAAGATTACAACACCTGAATGCTTGGAAGCTTGGAAGGTTTTCTTGATGGTTACAAATGAGGAGAGGGACTCCTACTTATAGCCCCCTCCAAGTCTAAGGGAAACTTATAAGTTACATGAGAATACACTAATTTGTAGATAGTTCTACATTATTCTTTATAGATATATGATTATAAAACTTTCCAGAATATTCTAGAATTCTCTTAAAGCTTGCTTTCTTATTTATGTAATTATGTGGAATCTTCTAGAATTTCTTAGAATATTCTCCTCATTTTTAGTTTTTTCTAGAATGTCGTGGAATCTTCTAGAGTCCCTTGAATTGCTCTCCACATTCTGCTCTTCTCTAGAATCTGTCTTTCTCTTGTTTAGTTGGTCAATTATTCTTGAAGATCACGGAGCGTGATACTCTCCCCCATTTAAGCTCACAATGCCCTCATTGCGACTTCTCCTTGGCACTCAGACCATCTTCCTTTGTTTGCTCTTGTCATACTTAGGTTTTTCCTTGGTGGTGTGGGGAAGGGGTGTCATGCAGTGAGACTTCATGCAGCTTAGTTCTTGGCTCCAGTCTAATTGGATGATTTTTCTCTCTTCTTGGTGGTAGTTCTTTAAGAACCTCCACCACTTTTCTTGGCATGCCTTCTTTGGGCTTCGCTTCTTCATAGGAGTCGTGAAGAATAACCAAGTAACTCCACTTTTCTTTTGAAATGCCCACTTTGAATTGGATGGTCGATAGCACTCTGTCTTCCTTATTGTTGGCACTTGTTATTGATACTAAGAAAGCTTGATTCCCTTCCATGATGCACATGCTATTGGTGAAGGGCATTGGGAATGCTCTTGCTCGATCCAAGAAATTCATTTTTAAAACAACTTTAAAATTATCCATTGAAATGACAGAGAAGTCAAAGATATCTGACCACGCTCCAATATTGGTCTTTACTCATCTGATTATTCCATAGATTGGTCTTTCTAATGAATTGATCACCTTAATGGAGCTTCTTTCTTTAATCATTTGCAAATCCAATCTCTTTGCTTCATCGGCAGAGATGAAGTAATGGGAAGCTCCCTTGTCCACCATTGCTCTAGTGATCTTCCCGCTTATTACTATCTCCACAAAGAGTAACCCCTTTGCTCAGGTTTTTGCTTGAGCTTGCATCTCATTTAGCAGTTGTATAGCCCATACTTGTGTCGTTGTATTACTAACTTTCTCCCGATAACTTGCAAGGAGAGAGTTTAGAGCATTATTTTGAGGACAATCACTTGCCCAATGCGGTCCATCACAAAGAAAACACTGATTGTGTGGTTTAATTTTGTCTTTTTTAAGCTTCCATTTGTCTTTTGCTTTGAATGATGTCGATTCATGGCGAGTCTCTTCCTTATGTTGATCATTGTCTTCACCCTCTTTGACATAAGTACTCTTCTTATCTTTTGGCGTTGTGGACTCTCTTGAGTAATCGACTAGGCTTTCAACGACCGCGATGACTGTGATAAGATTTTGCACTCCGCAATTTCTAAGCTCGGTCTTCACCCACTGTTGGAGTCCATCCATGAAGTTGAAAACATCCCTGTCTGACATGTCGAGAATTTCAAGAACCAAGCTTGTGAACTCTCTAATGTATTCCCAAATCGTTCCCTCTTGTTTGAGCCTTCGCAATCGGGCTCTAGCCTCTTCTTTCGCGTTCTCGGGGTAGAATTGTCTCTTTACTCATTCTTAAAGTCATCAAAGGTGGATATGATGCATTTATCTTTCTCTATATCTCCTCGTCTTCTTCTTCATCACAACATAGCGATGTATGAAATATAAAAAGCTGCAAATTGTATTTTTGCCTCTTCAACCGTAATCCCCATCGTCCTAAAATATTGCTCAAGTTTGCATAAGAAGTTGTCTACTTCTTTCGACTTGCGAGCTCAATCAAAACTATTTGGTTTTGGAACGTCAATCTTCTTGGCTTCGAAAGTATGCTGGTTGGTGGGCGTCGCTAGTGTCATCTTGCATAACGAGATGTCTCTACGCATTTTCTCAAAGCTAGCACGTATGGCACTCATATCTTTTTCATGGGCTCTTCGTACCTCTTGGAGCCCCCCATCAAATCCTCCCACATCTTAGCCATTTGATCCCTTAAGGAGTTTTGGAGCATCATACCTCTGATTGTTGAATGGATTGTGATGTTCTCCTCCTCGAGTCCACCAACCTTTTGGTCAAGATCCTCTATCTGGGCTGCCACGCCATTCATTGCCTCCTTCACCCGAGCAAAGCTCGAATCAAAGCCATGTATGATCTCTTTGGACCTCCCATGTGGTTTGGATGCAGTTGGATATCGTTGCTTCTGACGACCTCTCCCTTATTGAGATGATTCCACATTAGTGGCTTCGGACTCCATTATGTGTTCTTTAATGCTCTTTGTCATAACTTCGAACCGAGATTCCGATACCAACTGTCATGGGCTAACTTATCTCTATTCACCCATGCGGCTTTAGAGCTCTTTATTGACACTAAATCAGCCTAACTCTCACAACACTTGGACTTTTAAGCACACAACACCCTTGGAAGAAGAGCGTGGAGAAGTATTGGAGAAATGAACACTTCACTAAGAAAGAAAGATTACAATGCTTGAATGCTTGGAAGCTTGGAAGGTTTTATTGGATGGTGCCAAATGAGGAGAGGGACTCCTATTTATAATCCCCTCCAAGTTCAAGGGAAATGTCTAGATTACTTGAGAATACACTAATTTGTAGATAGTTCTACATTATTCTTTACATATATATGTTGCTAGAACTTTCCAGAATATTCTAGAATTCTCTTGAAGCTTGCTTCCTTCAGCATATTTCTGGAATTATGTGGAATCTTCTAGAATTCCTTGGAATATTCTCATTCTTTCTAGTTTTTCCTAGAATGTCGTGGAATCTTCTTGAGTCCCTTGGATTGCTCTCTACATTCTGGGCTTTTCTGGAATCTTCCTTTCCCATGTTTAGCTTGTCAATTATTCTTGAAGATGACTAAGCGTGACATGGAGATCTAACCTGTCAAGTTGGCATGGTAAAACTCAACTTCATTGATAGAGGTTACCTTGAGTATATCCTGAATCCTTGGGTCCTCTGGGGCTCATGTTGACTTGATCTTGTCATTAACTCCATGAGCTCACATCATTTTCACTAAAGGATGTTGGAACCGAGCAGATTGGTTGCTAGAGAGTGCATTGTGGTGATGATTTATGGTGCCATTGTTGAGGAGATGATGTAGCACGTTTATGAAGATTTTGGAATGCTTGTTATCAAAAAAATATTTTATAAAGATGTTTTGAATAAAATTAGGGTCATTCACGTATATACCACCCAATTCTTGTAAAGATTTTCTATTATATTCTAATAAAAGGAATGATGACAAGATTGATTTATAAAAAAAAAGGATATTTTAGTATTTTTGTGAAATAGTTATCACTATTAGCTTAATCAAACCGATATTTAAGTGTTTCTTTTTTTATTAAAATGCACCGAAAAGAAGATTTCTAAACACTATCATCAACTTTTTAAAGTATGACTTTAAATACTACTTTCTGAAAAGCTAATTTTAAACAAACTCTTAGAAAAAGAGAAGCTTAACCAAACGAGGCCTAAGGCTAGATTATGACTTCATTACAACTATTCATTAACAGTATTGTTAAAATGTTTATATTTAAGCTCAACACATATTGTTTGATGTGATTTATTTATTTTTCTCAACAAGCTACTTGTATAGAACTCGAATAAGGCTCGTTTAAAACTTCAGTAAGACTCGATTATGGCTCGTTTATTTTGTTAAACTCACTGCTCGTTAAAAAGCTCGCTAATCCCTATATAAACCGAGCTCTAACTTGAACATGGTATTTCTAAATGAGCTCAAGCTCGAATATAGTTTTAAAAGCTAGAATTAAGCTCGAGCAGAGCTTAAACAGGCTCTTATTAAACTAGCATGAGCTCAAATTGGAACCTGCTCTGCTCTGTTTGTTGTCATAATGGGTGAGAAGGCCCATCATAGGGCTTCATTGTTTTGTTGTTTTGTGGCGCACTAGTTATATGTTTATTTTAAGCTCATGCCGTAACTCTTTGAATTGTTCTGGAATTTAGGTTTTCCATGCAAACATTGCTTTTATCTCAAATCCCTGGTATAAGCTTTAGAGCGTCCACAAGTGAAGCATTCACATTTATCTATAGAAATAGAGTGAACTGAAACATTGTTACTGGATCTGGCGGGCTTAGCTTTTTTATTATATTTTGGTTGGTAGACATAGTTGGTAGACATAATAAGCTAAATAAGGGGCATTGTGCTTAGCTTGATGATTTTAACCTGTCAAAGTTTTAAGTTCTACATGTTGCTTTCTTGGTTTCTTTCAACGACTCAAGGTTTCCATTTCATTGACTTCTCCTTTTTACCATTTGAAATGTGTATGCAATTTCAGGTTCATCTTGTGAGATGAAGTTCCAAGATTTTACAGCTTTGCTTGTTGAACCTCTAGAGAACAAGAAATTTTCTAGATTTTCATTGCAGTATGCAGAAATTGAAGAAAAACCCAGCGGAATAGAAGACTGGGAACCGAGATTTGCTGGCCATCAGTCTCCTCAAGAAAGAGAACAGTCATATTTTGCCCATGACCAGAAGATCAACTGCGGGTTTATTAAAGGTCCTCCAGGCTCACTTAATACTGGTTTTGATTTGGCAGAAGATGATATGAAATACATGAGCAGTTGCCACATAGCTGTATCTTCATGCATCTTTGGAAATTCTGATCATTTAAGAACACCTTATCTTAAGACGGTAAACCATGAGTTATTGTTACCCTTCACGCAAATACTTGCTTGTCTTGTTAATAACATGGGCTTCATTTTTATTTGCTCTTTCTTATGCTTAGTTTTGTGCTTCTATAGTTACAACTTTATTCATCTTTCTGTGTAAGTTTTCTGCTTTCTCTTAGAACTTTCAGATGCCTATCCGTTAGCAAGAACTTTGCTATAACATGTTGCATGAGTCATGGCCGCATGTATGAAACCAATATTTTGTTTTCTTTCTTTAGATGCTTTTCTTGCAAGCACAATGATGATATTATAATTGTGATTGGTGCTTATGTTCCGTGAGTTATATTAGAAGATAGATTGCAAAATTAATTTTGGAGGATATTGATGAACTTTTTGCAATATGTTCGTGAGAAAGGAATCCAATCCATCCAGGGTAACTTAAATGGACATGTTTCTAGTATGATTGACTATAGGAGGATTCATGGTGATGAAATTAAAGGTGGAAATGCAATATGAAAAGTTATGCTTGATTTCACCACACTATAGTAGCATATCATACATTGAGAAATGGGAAGAGTGTCTAATTAATTTTATGAGTAGAGCCATCAAATCATGCAGATTTATTTATGAGGAAAGAAAAATATTTCTTAGAGATAGTAAGGCAATATTTATGATGCGGGATTCGGATTAGCGCCCAAAATCTGGCGCAGAACAGCGCCTCGAAGGGGGTGTGGCACTTCGAAACAGTGGGGCAGAAGCCCCACGAAACCGTGTGAAGCTAAGAGGGAACCCGCAACAGGGAGGGAAATTGCGAATTCTCGCCATCCAGCTAAGGCTATTCACACCGGATTTTTTCTTCGAAGTGATTTCTGGATTCTTCTTGGTTTCCCACCTATCCCTTTTGTGTAAAAGTTTTCTTTGAGCCTATAAATTGTTATCCTACTTATGTAGGGAGTCAATTCTGAGTGTGTTTCGTTTTAGATCTCCTGTGTGGAGTCTCTTTCCCCTTTTTAAGTTGTATCTGAAAGCTGATGGTGCTTCGGCTATATCCTCTCCAAGATGGTGATTGTATCTTTCCTTTAAAAATCGTCTCCTTTTCTGTTCCCAACCGCCAAACTCTCCCTCCGTCACCCTGACACTCAATCATTCCCTCTTCCTATAGGTTATTACAACTGACCCAACTTCCTAACTCCCTTCAAGCTCCTCCCATCCACCTCATTACCGTTGCTGACCACCTAAAATCTTTCCCACTTGCTGTCCCTACGGTTCCACACCTTACCCTCACTGTCACCAGCATTTTGTTGTTGTCACCACCCTTGTTAGCATCCTGACCCACCTCGCCGACCTCCACCACCTATTGAATACATTTTTGCTTTTGTCGTTTTTGTGTTTGTGTTGTTATTTCTGTTTGAGCCATGTTGTAACCTTATTTTAATATTAATGAATGTTTACTTTTTGTGTTTACACTATTTCTCCTACTAGTTCCGATATCATTTAGTATCAAAGCTAGTCCAATACTAGCCATATCCTAGGATTTCCTATCCACCTCTACCCAAGCCACCCCACCCAAATTTTCTTCCGATTCCAACTCTATCCATGCCACCACGAAGTGGTATTGTTGACTGCCTCTGGTCAATTCCCTATAAACTTGGTCCTTGGCTAGTGAGTAGTTTTGTCGAGTTAGCAGGTTGAGTGCCATTTAGCCCAATTCAAAGGCTGGGTGCCATTTAGCCAAGTTCAAAGGCTGAGTTATGAGGGAACTTGATAAATAACTTTTTTAAGTGACTTGATTTGATTGGAAATTTATTGAACTTGGTTGAGATGCCTTGGTGAACCAGACCCAGGTGAATGTGGGTGTATTAGTTGCTAGTTTTTTTCACGTTTTCTAAGGAATTATTAAGAGTGGGAATAAAATCTTTCGCCCATTTTGGCCTAGGTGCACTTGATTTTGTTGAAGTTTTTAATATTTCGTTTGATTTAGTCAATGGCTGACACGCTAAAATTTTCCAATTCTTAAATAATCGCTTAGTTTTCCATAGAGATAAGTTTGTTTCCTTTTTGCAACTAAGAAGAAAATTAAGTACACTGGCCATGAGTTATTTGTTATGTTGCTAGAGAGCATTAAGGAATGAGAAAAGCACAAAGCTTCATGTGAATCTTTTTTGTGCCACTTTGGAAGAAGTTTGAGGAGAAATTTGAAGAAGCTGGCAAGGGAATGAAATACAATGCGGCAACCATGGAGGCTTTATTGAGTGATCTTCATGCAACTCTCTTGGAGAAGAAAGTTAGCTGATTCTTCTCTTCTTGGTTTGTCGTGGATGGATCTGTCCAAAATATTCTTCAATGATAAAATTGACTTAACTCTAAGTAGCATCCCAATCTATGAGCGAGTTTTTGACTCTATGAAATTATCAGAAGGGGATGAACATGATGAATTCGCTGTTAGTCTAAGAGATGAAAATGCCACTGAGGATCCTGATATTAAAAGAAATTATATAGGAAAAAAAGAAGTTGATCATGAAGAATCAAATAAGGGGGTCCGAGTTCTAGATGAGATTAGGGAATGTGAAATTGCAATGTTCAAAGTTGCCGAAGGTTGATTCGGTCACAATAGTTTTGATGAGTATGTTTGAAAGTTTGCTTGAGGATTTTGATTCTTTGAATGAAATGATTTGTACTTTTCAAGCTACTTTTGAACTCTAAACGATGAGGATTACTGAGAGACTTTGTTCAGCTTGAAGTTTTTTAGGAGGCTAAGAGACATGTTTGTGCATTTTGGTGGTGAAGTTTTGTATTTTATCTAGTCTCCTTGATGCTTAGTTTGGTGAAGTCGATAATGCTATTTGTTTATAGGTAAATGATTTGAAGTATGAGAGGACTTCGAAGAGGGAGTTTGTTACATATTCACAAATGAATCAATTTGTTGTTGGTGCCGAGCTCTTGCTGCAGGATTTGATTCATCGTGGATCAATATTTAGAGATTTTTTTTATCCTATGATCCCAGCACTGCTAGGGAAGAGGAGTCATCAGTGGATGCAAAGTTAGTGAGCCCACCTGCTTCTCTAAGTTGTCCTCCTACAAGTTAGTGGCCCTTTCGGTTTTTCTTGTCAAAAGAAGTGGATTTTCTTTTGAAATAACTATTTTCCTTTCCACTTTTTTTGCTTTTATTTTCCTCTTGCGCAGGCTCTTTTCTTTTTTACAAGTAACTAAGAATATATATATATATATATATATATATATGTATATATAATGAATTATGGTTAGTTAGTTGTCCTTTGATGTATTAATTAGAATTCCCGGATATCTTAATGTATCACTTTGATTCTCGTGCAATTGATTACTAAATCACTATTTTTTTATTTGACTTTCCTTGATGCTCGCGCACGCTCTTTTTTTTTTTACAAGTAAATAAGAATATATATATATATATATATATATATATGTATATATAATGAATTATGGTTAGTTAGTTGTCCTTTGATGTATTAATTAGAATTCCCGGATATCTTAATGTATCACTTTGATTCTCGTGCAATTGATTACTAAATCACTATTTTTTTATTTGACTTTCCTTGATGGAACTTATTATCACCTCCACTTGCTCAACTTTCTCATATAAGTAATCCTACGCTCCTTCATTTGGTTTCTTTGTGCCTTCATTTGATCTTTTGCAGTCTGTATTTTCATTTCTCTTGGGTGTTTTTCTCATCTCATTCTCAATTTCTTAGGTTCTTCTTATGCTCTCACATAACTTTTCTAGGTCGATACGCAAGTCACTGAGTCAGAAGTTTTGAGATTGGAGATTACTTTACAATATGAGTTGTTGAGGTTGGTGAGCTCGCTAACTCGATAGAAAAATTATCTCATGTTGTTGTCCATGCTACATTGATGCTTGTAGATCATGTATATATGACAGTTTCCATTGATAACCGAGATATATTGGAAGAGTGATTAGTATCAACAGCTCCTAATTCCTTTCAATCATTAAGTACTGCATTTTGAGAGCATTGGCCGTGCCTTCATATGGTCTGCAGCATTTGAAGGCGACGGGAAAGCTAAAGCAAAGGCCTTGTGGCTGGCTTTGGCATGTGAAATTCGGACTACATCAAGGTTACTTGTTCTCAATCTTGTACAGGAGTGCAAGACAGATATGTGAGCCTAAATAATTCTTTAATTACCAATTATTCTAACAAAATAATTAACTAATTAATTATATTGTACTTAATTATATTATTAAGTGCTAATAAACTCTTTTTGATATAAAAAATAACCTAATGGATCTCTGATTACCTAGGTTAAAAGTTAAATATCAATTAATCTGAATTATTAATCAATTAGTCAACTATACTAGGTTGAATCACTGTGATTAAACAAAAATAATTCTTTATTATCATAATTTATGCTTTAACTTTTAATTAGCTTTAATAAGTAGTTAATATGAATTATTTTCATTAATCATTTACTTTTAATTATCCCATATCTTATTATGAAACCCTTTAAACATTGATAAACCCATATTGATATTTATAACATAAATTAATCACTATGTAGTCTGATTAATAATCAATATAACTAATCTCCACTCAGGGTAATTAGTAATATTAATCAAAACAATCACTTGGGAATGCTTCCAAAATATGTGGAAACGCTCTCATCAATGTTTTAACAGTTTTATGAAACAGCTGATTTTATTTCCAAAAATATGAAACGCAACATGGTTACCGGATATGGATTTTTTTCACTTGTCCCTATTTTTATTACAGAAAACAAAATAAACGGGACATTAAACATAATTGCTAAACAATTTTTTTTTCTCACTTAAATGCCTGATTTTATTATAGAAAACATGAAAACATGAAACTAATGTGACTCCAAGCATAATCTTCCGTATTGCATAAGATGTGCGTTTTAGTTGTGGAATATCTCCTTTTTAACCCAGTAAGATAAATCCTCTACTACATTCTTTAACCTAGATTTTAGTATGTTTGTTGAGATATTTCTTTTAATTCATTTAATTAAAGTTGGATGGGATTTTGTATAACCAACCACTTCTCTTAAAAGGAACAATATTTTGTTAAGGCATGTGAGAGATTGAGTTTAATCCCGCATCCTATAATTGATGAAAAGTTACTTATAGGCTTAAATTGTTGGCTGAAAATTGATTTGATCATTTGTATATCTAGTCCAACTTTGGCCTCCCTCTGAGTGTATACTTTCTAAGGATTTATACTTTCTAACAAATGACATCTTATAATTTTTTTCCCACAAACTCTAACCAAATTCTCCTTTGAAGTAGTTGGCCAAAGAAGCCCTAAATAGGCCTTAGTCTGGTTTCACATGGTTTCTAACCCATTAAACACCTTGAAAATTTTGGATCAACTCCAAATCTAATCTAGATACATTGCTCTACTACTTACATGAGTTTCCCTGTTTTTTCTACGTCTTAAATTTCTTTTTTAAAACCAAACATTTCATATTGGGTTGTTTCCCAGATTATGTTTCTGCATGACTTAGTTTGATTCTAAAATTTTGAAATAGTATTCCAAAACCTTATGAAATTTTAAACTTTTTTAGATAATACTTGGAAGCACCTTTTTAATATTTCTTTTTATTTTTAAACCTTAAGATTACATATATTGTCCACATCAAGGATCTAAACTTAGATTTGAAGTTTTTTATTTTTGGGTTGCACGTCAGATGACATGCATAATTTTGATTTTCCCATATGTTCCTTCACCCAAGCCCTAATCCGTTTATTCTATACTTTGACATATCTTGAAGTTTCTTGACCCAAAATATCCTATTACTCCAAGGCAAGCCTTTGGGTCTTGACCAAGATTGATATTAAAGCAAAGATGCACGTGATTGTGAGTTTATTGATCCATGTATCTTTTTGAAAGATTTTGATTAGTTGTTCTAAACTTACATGATGGTGTCTAAGTTTGTTTTTTTCCTTAATTTCCCCATATCCCGTGACTCTTACCCTCGTAAAATTTCAAATCTTTTCTTGTCTTCAATTCTACAAAGACTTAAGGGTTTGATGGTCATCCTATATTGATATTTTGGTGAGGGCAACTCTTTTTGATAAATTGTGGAAATTGGAATTCGTCTTTTTTGTCTTTTTGTGAGAATCTTGGTGAGAGGCATAGAGATTTTAGACTAAGAAGCTTCAAATGATATTAACAAGGTGTGGTATCATTGGATTATAGTTTGGTTTAATGAATCGAGGAGAAAATCAAAGTTAATGGTGGGCCATATAAGGTGCAGCTCAAAAAAAAAAAAAAAACCCTAGATTTGAGTTTTTTATCCTTGGTGTAGAGAATGAATGTAACCTAAGAACATGAAACTTTTGTCTACATATTTTTTTCTTAAGTATCAAGATCTTTGGATATTTTTCCAAAAATCTAGAATTAGATTAGTTATGTAGGAACCTCATATGTACAACAGCTTCGGGTGAAATGATTAACTTCAAAAAAGAGGTTTAGTACTTGAATAAATTAAGGAAACTTTTGTAGGTAGAAGACAAATGTATCTAAATTAGATCAGAGTTAATCTGAATTTTCATGGTGTTTTGATGGGTCAAAATTCTCATGGAATTGGACTAAGTACTGTTTAGGACTTCTTTGATTGATCATTTCACAGGAGAGTTTGGTTAGGATTTTGTTAGGGAAGAATTAGAAGAAAATGAAGAGATGAAAAGGTGGCATTAGAATCTCTCATAAGGAAACACAGAGAAAGTTGCAAGAGAAAATATAAGATATTATAGTAAGAAATTTTGATTGGAATTCAGATTATTTCTTCCACACAATCTCTTGAAAATTAAACCCACATAAAGACTAAGAATAAATAATTACACAAATTAAAACGATTTTTTTCATAGCTCCTGGTGATAGGTCCATTATTTTCTTGCTTTGATTCCTTGTCGAATTGATCTTGTGTTGCATCAAGTATATTGTAATTTTGTTGCTAAATCCATCTCTATACCTATCTGTGTATGTTATGATGACTGGTAAAGTGATATATTTATATACTGTTGCTTGAAAATATGCGAATATTTCTTTCTTCTTCGTTTTTGCCTTATGGGAGACTGTGGAAGTTAAAAGGAGCCAACCAAAACATTATCCATTTTTATCTAAATATTGATCGAATAAATTGTGTATTTTTCATCTTCATGTATTCCGACATTCTTTAACTGTAACCTTAACCTTTGTCCTTGAAAATCTATCAGAATGCTGACTAATTTCTATTATTTTGCATAAATTTAATATGTGCATTATGCCACTCATTTTGTATGAGCAGAAAATCAAACAATGTATTATTTCATGGCTGAATTCCGTCTTCCAATTGACGCAGATTTCACGCCAGTCTAGGAAAAATGTCTGCTTTATTATGTTTGTGGATGAGATTACATTGCAGACGTTACTTTCAGAAGGGCAGAAGATGGACAGTACAGGTTTTATTGGTTTGTGGAAGATTGTGGTTGTTCATAACTTACCTTACCCTGATATGAGGAGAGTTGGGAAAATACCCAAGTTTTTGACACATCGACTTTTCCCATCTGCCAGGTGTGAATGAATTTTGGGGCATTTACATACACCGCCCAATTCTTATGTTTTTACATATCTGACACCTAAACTTTATTTTGTAACATTTATACTAACCAAATATTTTATATCACAAAAAAAAATAGCATCATTTGAACTTTTTTGAAGTAAAATATACATTCATGCATGGGTAAGGTGGCTTTCATGTTAATCTTCCAAGAATTTATTCTAAAGATGCAGTCGCTAGTTGACTTCAAATTCTCGTTGCACCAACCTTGACTTTGATTTTCTCCTTTTGAATTCACAGCCACTTATCAAGTTCTTTGCCTGGCTTTATGATGCGATTATATATGAGTATTCTAATTTTAGAATTTCTTAACCTCAGATATTCAATTTGGCTTGATAGCAAATTACGTCTACAAAATGATCCCTACCTCATCTTAGAATATTTCCTATGGAGAAAAGGTTATGAATATGCCATCTCCAACCACTATGACCGGCACTGTGTTTGGGAGGAGGTTGCCCAGAACAAGAAGCTGAACAAGTACAACCACACTGTTATCGATCAACAGTTTGAGTTCTATCTCTCAGATGGCCTCAAAAGATTCGACCCGTCGGATCCCAACAAATTGCTTCCTAGCTGTAAGGCTCTTTATTTTATAAAAATTTCTTCATTCATCTTATAATTCAAGAGTAAAGTGCGAAAATAGGCCCCTGATTATTTACATGCGGTCTTTTTAATCGTAATATTAAAAGAGTTTGGGGAGTAAATTGGCTCTTTAAAAACTCTGAAACTAAATTGAGCCCCTACAAAGAGTCATGGGATTCTTTCGACACTTTTCTCTATAATTTAACTAATTCACATAAATTAGCTATCACTCTACATGTGCACAGATGTACCAGAGGGCTCCTTCATTGTGCGAGCACACACGCCAATGTCGAACTTATTTTCGTGCCTTTGGTTTAACGAAGTGGACCGCTGGACTCCTCGTGACCAGCTGAGCTTTGCCTATACTTATTTGAAGATTAGAAGGAAGAATCCTGACAAGAACTTTCATTTAAACATGTTCAAGGTATGAAGCAATGGTCCACTGAATGATAATATTTTGAATTTATTTATGTTCATGGCAAATAATTATGTCAGGATTGTGAGAGGCGGTCCATAGCAAAGCTTTTTCACCACAGAGCAGAAGATAGAAGGAATATATCTTTACAATAGCAATTATTGAAAGCCTCAGAAATACAATCCTTCTCTATTAACAGGAGGTATCTCACCTGCCATTATTTAGTTTTTTTTTTTAGTTCCTTGGATTAAAGGGTTTTAGAACTCCAAGTTCTTTGTTGCTGTCCTTTTATTATTTCATTTTTCTTAGTACTTTTAATGGTTCCAGTGATGATTAAAAGCTTGTAAAAATCTCATCCCACTGAGAATTCTTTGAATCCATCTAATTTTTTCAAAATAATACTTGTTTGTAGTCTAATCTTTTAATATTTGATCTTAGTTTCAACTAATTATCTGTTAACTATATTATTGACATTTAGTACTTTATTTTATTAAGTTAAAAAGAATAGTTATGATGGTACCGAATAATGTTTTTTGGCCCTTGTGCATGATTGCTCTGGCTGGTTTTACCTGGTCCCACAAATTTCCAAATTAAATGGCTTAGTGATTATAGTGCTCTGTCACATCATTCATTTCTTCTTGTTTTTTGTTAATGCATAAGAATTGTATGTTATAATGTCAAAGCTCATTAATTTCAAAATTTATAATAGTTTTAGCTTATTTTAATTATTTATTTGGTGTTTGTTTATCTTAAAAATTTGTTTGTTCTTATAAGCTCAACAAATAACTTATTTATAAGCTTGATAAAACCCATTTAATTGAAAAATAAATAGCTCAATCACACTACTTATCAATTTATTTAATAAAATTCATTCGGTTAAAAAATAATTAGCTCAATAACACTAATATTAATTTATTTCATGAATACCAATAAAGCCTAGGCTAACTCATGACTTGATTTTACTAGGATATATCTCCATCCATGGTATGGGGTCGAGCAAAGGATATAAAACAAATGCCCTATATTTCACAAATTATAAAAAATCCAACCCAAAAATACAAATCATAATAGGGGCATTTAAATACATAACTATACAATTCTCGTGTATTTATATATCTAGCACCTAAACTTTCATATCGACAAGCAAACAGATTAAAATTTTAACATCTAAAAAATATAACTATCATTTGCTTTCTTTTTTACAATGAAGTGCTCTTTTTCATGCACACAGATTTATGACACCAAAATATTATAAATATAAATATAAATATTTTGATATTAGATATATAAAATGCAAAAAGAATTGTGTGGTGTGCATGTAAATTTCCCATCATAATAAACATCTGAACTGTGCTTCATTATAGATGGAACTAAAAATATATCTATATATATATTGAGATATAAATTGCTATAACTGTTTCTCCAGCTCCTACATTAATGGCCACAAATATTTCCTAAAAACCCTTATTTCCTACTAAAAGCCTACAATTTCCTGCAAAATTGACCATCTTCTTCCATTTTTAATGTATACACTTTTTCTAAACTTAATTCTAATCCTACCATTCCAACCAATAAACCAATCAATGAATACTGTACAGCTCCACAACACTTCCCCCATAAATATCAAATCCAACCTTGTGATGAAACAATTTCTAACACTAATATGTGGATCAGAGGCGTCAATCGGATGGAATGAAAATGAAATATTTGTTTGCCTCAACCGCTGCCGCCATTATTTGGAAAACGAAGTGCTTCGTGGGCTCTCAGAATCTCTGAGCTGAAACCAACTAATGACTGAAATACTGGAACTAAACCTGATCTTAAACTGGCTGAGCTAACTTGCTCAACTTGTCTCAACGTCTCAACATGCTTTGCTCTCACTTCATCCAATCTTTTCTTCATGGAATCCAACGCTGTAACCCGTTCATCAAAATATGATGTATTTTCAGTATTTCGGATTGACAAATCTCGGTCACCATGTTCCATTTGTAGACTGCTAAGCTTTGCAGAATACTCTTTGGACAGAAAATCTGCTCTTTGTTGGAGTTTCTGCTCCTCATCTTGGCTTTCCCAGAGTCTGTGCATATTGGCAGCAAAGTTTTGGATGGCTGCTTTAACATCATCAACTTCTGAAATCGTGTTTATGGCTCGAGACCAGTCGTTGGTTAGGACGAAAAGTGAAGGAGCTCGAGCGGCTGGCGAGAAGGGGGGAATCCCATCAGGTGTTCCCTCACGGTTTTTGGGAAGCCATTTTGACAGCCATCCGTTCAGAGAATTGACAAAAGATTTCTGTGAGCTGATCCACTCATCAAAACTTGCATGCCATTTCAGGAGTGCGAGCTCCAGATGCATGGTGGCTTTTGTGGCTGAATCCTGGAATGAAGTTCTGATGCTGAGTTTATAGTTTTTACTGGCGATTATAGACTGTAACTGCTTTTGATGACAACCGAGAAGCAATTTCCACATTTGGGTTAATCTGCAAATAAAATGATTATTGTATGAGTTTGTGGCGCTACATAGAACATTATGTTCAAAAACATAAGGAAAAAAAATGAAGAATATAGGTGCTATGCATGATGGAAAGGGTCTACCAAAATAAAGGGGAATTTGAATACATTACAAGGGTGGATCTAGGAAGACCACAGGGTGGGCGATTTCCCACCTGAGAGTTCAAATCCCCCTTAATGGATTTTAAAATAAATAAATAAATATTAATAAATAAGTAATTTTGCACCCTGAATAAATCATTCTGCCTAATGCTTGAGAAAATAATATTTAGAAAAGAGTGTTTAATGTAATAGATTTGTTTATCATCAAGAAAGAGGTTAGTTCCACACCTAATACATTATCACATAATTCTTATATATATATATAATTACATTACACAGATGTTTAAATCACATTAAAACATATGCATGAAAAAGTGTATTTCACATTAGACGAGTCTATTTTAGTGATATTATTTATGTGGTTTAGAGACTGTGATGTTCAAGAAGCAAATATAACGGTTTAAGTGATAAATATATAAATGGGGGATTTACATACATACCACTCAATTTTTATTAATTTTCATATCTAGCCACACACAACTTTTATATCGCATACATGCCACCTAAATCTCCCCAATACATCAGATCTATCACTCCGTTAAAATTTGCCATCCCAAATAACTGTGAAGGCAGCGAGAAGATTGTGGTGCACAAAGACATTTGGAAACTTCCATCTTTCTCCTTCTGTCCTGCTGCTTCTCCGGTCGATCACAGCGATGGGATCGCGACACACAAAGACATCTAAAACTCCCATCTTTCTCCTCCTTCCACTTTCCTGCTCCTTCGGTCGACAAAAATGATGCGATCACAATGTACAAAGACCTCCAAAACTCCCATCTTCCTCCTTCCGCACCGTTGTTCCTTTGGTCGACCATAGGGATGACATTGCAGGGTATGAAGACCTCTGAAACTCTCATCTTTCTCCTCCTGCCCTGCTGCTCCTTAGGTTGACTGTAGCAACAGGATCGTGACGTACAAAGACCTTTGAAACTCCCATATTTCTCCTTCCCGCCCCACTGCTCTTTCGGTCAACCGTAGAGACGGGATCGCAGTGCATAAAAACCTCCAAATTTCTCATCCGGACAACAAAATTTAACGAAGTGGTAAATATGATGAATTAGAGAGAATTGGGTGGTATGTATGCAAAAATAAAATTTTGAGTTTTATAAATGAAAATTAATAAGAATTGGGTGATATGCATGTAAATCCCCCTATATAAATATAAAAAATTTGTGCAATATAATTAAATCCTCCAATAAATAATTAACTTAAAAAACTGGTACATTTTATTCTTCATTTTAGAGACTATGAAAACTATCCAAAAGAAAAAAAAACTAAGGATAGATAATTCGAAGGCACGCAAGCAACTGGAAACATGGCCAGCCTGCTGAGAACTGGGAACGAGAAAGCGGGGCGTTGGCAGCAACAATAAGAATTAAGGAAAAGGTAAATAATGCAATCATAGAGAGAAAATAAAGATGAAAAATTTTCATAAAATACGGCCGAAAGAGAAAATCAAACTTATGTCGGCTGACAGTCTCTTCATATTAATTTCTCCAATGGATGAAGCAAAAAAACATATTTTCATGGAGGATAATTTTAAGAAATTGAGAAATAACTTTGTTTCATACCGTCGGATTAATTTGACAAGCTGAGGTTGCAACTCCTCATCCATTATCCTGCACATTCTTCTCGAAATAGCATCAACAGAAGTGATTGCAATGCTCATCTTTGTGCGCACAGATCTTGCTGAGACTTGGGTAGCATTAATTTTATGGAGCTCTGCTCCCCTCTCATCCAGTGATTTTAGTCTCCTCAATTTCTTCTCATGGATGCCTCGCAATCTTTCTTCAGCCTAGGACAACCACCTAATCAATTTAACAATTACTTTATTTCAAAATAAAATCACAACAACTTGCTAAGAAACTAAAATTTTTATAGTTGTATCAAATCAATCAAAGTGCATACGGAAACTAAGAAAGATTTAGAATCAATTTGGAATGAGAAAATTTTAAAAAAGCAATTTAAAAGTTCTCCCAATGAATACTAAAGCAATCTAAAAGTTGTCCCAATGAATGATATGCTTCAAAATCAAAGATTGGATAATGTTAAAAAAAAGGAAGATTTGCATGCATACCACTCAAATCTCATGTATTTACATATTTGACACCCAAACTTCAGTTTTTACATATATGACAACTTATCTATGTATGAAATGGAGTGTTTCACTTTTTAAAAGTTCAAATAATGGTATTTTTGATGTGATATAAATGAAAAAAATCAAATTATAGGTGTTAGATATGTAAATACACAAGAATTGGGTGATATGTATGTAAATGCCCCAATAAAAAATAGTTTATAATAATAATTTATTATTATTATACATACAAAGACACACACACACACACACACACATATATATATATACACACACACCTGTCAAAGGTGTCAAGCACGGTTTATACTATTAAACAATCTGCACTTACTGCCCATCGAAAGGAAAAATTTTAGCAAATATTTTATAGAAAGACATTTTAATCGTCCGGTGAAAATAACTTTAATACCCACTATAGTTTTGTTAGCTTGTGGCTGTATGCTATAGGTTGGCTCACTACACAAGCACTGTTATTGGGGAAAGCATATATAACCTTTCATTATAACTGAAGACAATGCGAAAGCAATGATTATGTTCAGGGCTGGTAGATTATCAGAACCGTTAGCGTGCTATTTAGACCAAGGAATATTTTCGACTCCACCAATGTTGCATTTAATCATAAATTACTTGGTAGTTCAAATGGATTGCAGGATGAAACAGTCATTGAAAAAAGAAAGAGAAATTTACATAGATACCACACAATTCTTATGAATTTACATATCAAAGACTAAAAGTTAGATATTTACACTTATAACACCTTGGTGTTATCAACCTATGCATGAAAATGTGTAGTTCACCTTTAAAAAGAGAGTGATGGTGGTATTTTTGATGTGATGTTAAAAATTTGAGTATGTTAAAAATTTGAGTGAGTTAAAAATTTGAGTGATATGCATGTAAATATGCATGTTTAGGTGTTAGATATTTAAATGCATAAGAATTGTGTGGTAGGTATGTAAATGCCACAAAAATAAAACTCAACACTATTCATTTTAGTTTTTTATTAAATTCAATTATGCTGTTATATATACTATAGGGAAGTCGAGCAAAATGGCATGATTGTAGTTTGGCTGAGGTGCCAATAATTTAATTTGATTACTATTTTATGTTCCAATTTACTGTTATATAGAATATGTCGAGGTCCTAACAAAATGGTTTCTAAGTATGGTTTCGAGGTTTATAGGATATTTTGGACAAAGCGCAGTAGATAGTTATCGATAAATAAAAAAGCACTTTTCTGAGATGTTCTAGATTAAACTCTTTATAAATTGATCCAACTCTTTATAAATTGATCGAGGACATACTTTTTAGGGATAAATTGAAAAGTATTGATATCAATTCATGTTTATTTGCACTATTACCAATATACAAGTCAGATTAAGTTAATGATATAACAGAATTGATAAGTTAATTAAGGAAAAAATGAAATTAATTTAACTATATTCCGAAGATGCACATTGAATTAAGTTGACGTTTTTTTTTCACACAAGAGTTCATTAATGATGTGACGTTGGAGGATTGTCTCATCCAGTTACAGGAGATTATTTGTTTCATAGTCAGTATTTTAGAGATATTTATACTAAATAATTTGTTGGTGCATTAATCCAAAAATAAACCTAGTTATAGTAGCCCTAGAATTCTATTTTATTCCACCGGCTTTTGGCTTTTGAAAAGGAAGAAGATGAAGAAAACCAAGAGAATAAGAAATTTGACTTGGAGGTATACCTTATTTGGTTAAAGATAAATCCACTTTAAATGATTTATGACTGCTTAGATTTTGAGTTTGTATTCATATGAAATGAGATTATACTATCAACATAGCATTGGAAGGAAATAACTTTATAAAGGAGTAAATGCCAGAATGGCCATCTGACTATTTACATGGCGCTATTTTAGTCTTCTCAGTCTATAAAAGTGTCAAATTAGTTCACAAACTATTTTAATGATGACTGAAATAATGCTCCCTCTAAATAGTCTGAAGACTATTTTAGCTTTCATTTAAAAAAATAAAAGAACGAAATTGACACTTTTATAAACTACAAGTCTCAAATGTCCCCCCCCCCCCCCCCCCCCCCCCCCAAAAAAAGGGTCAATACACCATTTTAGCACTTTCCCTTGATAAATAGGTCTCAAGCTTCAAATTTTGAAGCATCGTTAGATTCCTAAAATAAGCATACCATGCAGCACTGATTGATTTTGCATAATGATCATTATATAATGATTTTGATTTGATAAATTGAATTATGTACATTTATAATCTCATTGCATATAGTTCGTACCTCTAATATTTGTGCATACGAATTGCATGAATATATAGGGAAAAATTCAAGTATTTGATATTATAAGCATAGTATGTGGCTTAATTGATTTTAAGATAATATAGTTTATTTGCATGAATGTTGTTTGCATGATGATGATGAGGCTGACAAGAAAAACTTTTGGTGTGGTCAATAGCAAGTTTTGCATTACAATATTAAACTATGAAATTGTTACACAAAAATTATTAAAAAGATCATCAAATCCATAGCACACCATGAATAATGCATTGCTCTTAGCACAGAACAAAATCTAGCTGTTAAGGTGTTGTTTGACTGAATGCACTATAGGTGTAAAATTAAAAAGTTTGCATCCCTTACAAGACAAAATAGTTTATTTCTACAAGATGAGCCATTTACTGCACATTGAGAATTGGGCAAAATTGATTAGCAACCTATATAGTAATAAGTTTATGAAACAAAAAATGCATAGAAAGATTTAAATAAATTTCTCATATTGTGCAGTACCTTAACTTCCTCATAAAGTTTCTTTTCCCATAAAAACAACTTCTCCAGGGTTGATGAAAGGTGACCGGACTTCACACTCACGTGTTTCTCAAATTCCACGTTGATAGACCTGTTATTCATTGTTGTTGCTGCCAAACGACGCCTATGTTTGAAAAGACGGCGTGAAGGCATACGGAAGCCAACGCAAACCAAAATCCTGGAGGAGATCACTGCAATAGTATTTATAAGATTTACCAACTCAACATAAAATTATTTACAGCATTGGATTCTCATAAAAAGATTCTCCAAGCCAGATTATAATCAACTTTTGATTAAAAAGATGCAATCAGGACTATCATTTTACAGATATTTAAAGTTGCACAAATTTCCCAGAGAAAAAGCATTAACGCAACATATATTTTCAAACTCACAAACCTATGCCATTAATAATAAGCCAATCCGATTAAACAAGGTATATGAGATAGACGATGAAGATCATATTATGCTTTGTTCGCTATTACATGAAACTCTCCATGGTAGGTTAAAGAAACAACAATGAAAATGATGGAACCTCTTTTCTAAAATGAAAACATAATGGAGAATTGAGAAACCAAATTTTAAAGCATGTAACTTTTTAAGAGAATATGTCCACTTGTTCATTATCCATAACTTCAACCTACCTTACTCTATACATGCAATTAAAGTTCAAGGATATCTTTTCATTCAGCAAAAGGTCAGGTAAAAATTTTATGAAGTTCATTTTACCTTCCAGCTCATCTACTTAGTCATAAGCATGCTCTCCTAAGGAAGCCACTTTTTACTATGATAAATCTACGGAGGAAATGATCTTAAGCTAGAAACGACCTTCTTTAAGACAATCATGATAGAGCCTTAGACCAATAATTTAAGGAGAAGCTTTTGAATGGTCATTCCATGTTAATCATAGATCAGAACAAATAAGGTATAACTCTATTTTTTTTTCGGGCAGATTGAACACTCACACCAAACACCTTGGGATTCTTTACTTTATTTCCAGCCAATGCGCTACACATTCAAGCATTGTATAACTCCATTTTAAATGATTTTTTTTTCACAACACATAAGCATATTTGCCTATTTATTATTCTTCCTAATCTTTTCTATAAAACTATTGACCATCATTACAATAACATACTATGCTTACAGCAGTGAAATAAAATAAAATAAAAAATCAAATTATATTCATCTTTTGTGCCTTAATGACAAGAGAAGGATATACTAGAACCGATATTTAGACAGCAAAACAAAATTTTCTAAGCCATGCAAGTCGTAGACCTATTCCACCTGAAAACCTCTTCCATTACATTGGTAAACATTACTTTAAGCAATGAATCTGAAAAGAAAATTAAAAACATTGGAATCATAAAAAACCTATAGATAATGCAACAAAAATTCCAAAAGCAAAACGTTAAAAGGATAACAACAAAAACCGCACTAACCTTTAAACACTTTGTTTCTTGGTCGGTATGGCACTTTTCCAACCTCTAGCAATTTGGAGACCTCGTCATTGCCAGTAATTGCAGACTTGAACTCTTCTTTAATATCTCCCGTGGCTTCGACAACATCCTTACTGCCTTCCATAGATGATAAGCCTCCATCAGTTGACCCGCTTCTCTCATTCACCAAAGAGGTTCCCTTTTCAAAAGTCACCCCTTTCTTCTTCAAGCTCGATCCTTGCTCTCCATTGCTACCGACAAAACTTGTTGATGAACTTCCCTTGCTCCCTTTCTCACTGGGACTAACCTTGCTCGCCTTCTCTCCAGAACTGACCAAGCTCGTTGAAGAACTTCCATTGCTCCCTTTTTCAGTTGGGCTAAGCTTGCTCGCCTTGTCTCCAGAACCGAGCTTCCTCGATTTCTTCTCCAAATCGTCCGTCTTCTTTGCCCGTAAAGTTTTGGAGCTACCAATTCCAGAACCCTTTTCTCCAAAATCTTCAGCAATCATCTTTCCCTTCTTCACTCTAGTAAGTCCTTCCGGCTCAGTCTCTTCCTCAAGGTCAGGAATGC